AAGGATCTGAGAGGGTGTAGCCATCGTCGATACACTATCATAGAACTGAGAAGGCCGCTGACTAAGGACGTGGTCACATCGCCCACGCAAGCGAAAGATGAGACCCAGGAAACATTCCGAATAATAGCAACGGCTACGACTGTAGCTGCGAAGAGGACACATGCTGAGGATAAGATGGCGGCTGAATGGCGGTCCCATTCGCGATGCCTGGCCAAGACAGTAGCGTGGAGCACGACACCCGCAGCGAATGTAATAGCGAGACTCATATTGTGTATCCTGGGATAAGAGTGATTGATGGAGGAGAAGGGTTCTGTGTTTGAAAGTCATCCAATACGGCGGGTAGCAGCAGCTATGTGTTGCTGCCAGGCAGTCACGCTCGGTCCGCGCGGTCGGCATTTTCGGTCATTCCTTCTCATCTTCATTGCGGTACTGCGTGCTATTTCATCGATTCACAAGGAACGATTAACGATGGGCAAGAGATGAATGTGATGATGGAAAGCGCTACGTGATGGGGAGGAAGAGATGGTAGTCGCAGACGCGTCACGAAAGACGCGATGCCGCCGGCACAACTCCGGCAATGCTCATTGGCTGACACGCGTCGCCCGTGCGATCTATCTCGTGAACAACGCGATGCCGCCTCCATCGCCCTTCGATTCCGAAACCTGAACACCCATGCCAGCCTTCGCATAGAATCCTCTATTCTTCTCTCCACACAAGACACTAGCCACAACCTCGTTGCCCTCCTTCTGCGCTTCGCGTACACCCCACGTGGCTAACAGCTTTCCAACACCTTTACCTTGGTAGTCTGGGTGTACACCACAGACGTGCAAGTCCCAGCACTCAGTGCGATGGCCTGTCCAGTACTTCTCCGAGTTCGCGACAGCCGTGTCGAGGAAGGAAGTGCGCGTAGGATCAGCCGCTCGATTGGGGAAGAGCGCTAGAGACATGGAGTGGTATGTCTTAACGAGTGGCGCGATGAGATTACCTGCGAACAGAGAGGTCAGATAGGGCCAGCTGCGCGCTCATAGGCTATGCGGAATACTTTGATGGACATACGTGGATCTGTTCGCCCTAAACCCATGCCCTCTCCGCCTTTTCCTAGCCTCTTCCAGTCTGCGGCACCAACGACCTTCTCATCGTCTGTCACGACCAGGAATCGATGTCGCCAGTCCCAAAACCGTTCTCGGATACCGCGCAGCAAGAACCAGTATACGTCGTCTGGGTAGTCCTTGCGGTGTGGATGCATGAGCTCGCCGATGATCTCATCGTCAAAAAATGCCGCCGCCCATACTGTCGCTATCGAAGAAAGATCTGAGAATCTTGCAGGCCGAAGCTTAAAGTCGTTTGTGCTCGACTCCGTTGCCATCGTGCGTATGAGATTGGTCGCGCAAACGACTGGCTCTTTTGCGACACTCCCCAAGATGTCCAGGTAATCAACCAACCGTCAAGTATTGTGATACGGTATTATGCTCATGGCCTACGTGTGCCGAGCAGACGGGGCTGCAGATACGCGCTCCGGGCGTACTTTAACAGTTGTGAGAGGCCCCACATTCGGGCTACACCCATGCCGCTACGCGTGCGGAGTATGCATACATCATACCCAAGAGACCAGGATTTGTTCCTTAGAGCATGCCAGAACACCGAGAAGAGCGACAAACCTTTGGCCTCCGCTACTGATTCTGTCTCGTCGTTTGTCAATGCTCACAAGGGCTGCAACAACGCTTCAGCAACACGTGATGCCGTCCGACCACCCGATGTGGTTCACGCGCCCTTCGCGAGACCGAGATACATGTATAAATATGTGTGTGTCAGTTGCTGACGCTGATCTGGTATCCAAAAGCGCAATCGTCTCATCGCTAATATGAACCTGTTGGCGCCATGGTCAATCACGCTGACTGACGAAGAAGGTCGTCTCAATGTTCAGCCGCATATCCTACGAATTCATGACGAAGCTTGCTCGCCGTCAGCGCCATTGCGCAGCCAGTTCCCACTCCCCAACGAGGTTCTCGACGTTGTACTGGACCATGTTGTTTGCAACAACAACGAAAGCTACAACGACGTGCTGAGCTTCCTCTTGACCTGTAAAGGATGCAACGAACCGGGGTTTAAGAAGTATCTCTATCGCACTGTGTGCTTTGCGCCAGATCTAAAGAGCATCGCCATACTCAAAGGCATCGCTGACGATCCTGCTCGAGCGAAACTCGTAAGGGCTATAGTGTACAAAGATGCGGCGCCACGACGGCTGGAGGTTGCAGAATTCGAGAGGGCAGGCCTAAGCTATCGTGACCGCGAGTTCCATCGCCCTTGTCAACACGACCGGATGACGAATCCCTATCTTTGGTCTACATGGTTGGAAGATAATAGCCTAGGTTGGATGGACAAGTTCATCAACTTGGAAACAGTTTGCTATCGGCCAACCCGCAGCATGCTTCCACTTTCCGTGGATAGAGCGTACACGAAGCATACACCACTCAGGGAGACTAACAACTTGCGTCTCACAGATCAGGCCCCCTATCAAGAGCTGTACGGAATTAATACAGGCAACATTGTTCTCCCTTCTTTTGGCCTTGCTCAAAACTATCCGCTACGGTACACCTGCGCGAAAGCTCAATGCAGACACTCCATGAACATCTTCTACGCGTTGCTTAGACACATAGATCACCGCCAAGGCCAGCGACTTTGGAAAGCCGCCATCAACTTCAACACACTCGGGTTCGTCGGTTTTCCCACCGGAGAGATGGTACTCTCACATCTCACCATCCTGGAATACAAATTTGACAGTGGCGACAAGTCCAATGCGTATAGCAGCGACTCGTTGAAGATGAGGCTGGTCCACGACACTTTCATCATGCCCAACACCTTGCGCTGTCCAAATCTACGACACCTGATCTTTTCAGGGAGATCGCTCGCAGAGAACAACGCGCTTCACATGTCCATGCCTCAGATCGGGCTAGTGTCGGGATGGTCCCAGCTTCTCTGTCCGATCCGGACCTCCAGTCTCGACACGTTGCGCCTCGTCAATGTGAAATTGAACCGGATCGCAGTCCAGAAGTTACTTCGACTATCAGTCAGACTTCGGTTAGAGAATGTTGTCTTTCTTGAGAATTCATTGGATGTCTTCACAGAAACCTTGGAAAATCGCCTCCTGTCAATCGAAGTGGGCGGTCTTATCGTCGTTGCAAATACGATTATAGGTGGGTGTGACAAGGTCTGGGTCGTCGGTAGTGAGATGGAGGCTGCAGCGACTGTCCGGGAATATTCTCAGTACGTCCGCGACTCATCGGCTTTGGAAAACATACCCTACGTTCCGTCCAAGGATCTAAAGTGCTATATGCTGCTTAGGGGGCCTTCGCCGCTGCGACTCGACAATATGTGGACGACGTCGAAGAGTCTGGCGTTGAGGAATAGTTCATGGTGAGCGCCATGTAGCCGTCTATGGAAGCATGTCGGCAGTTCCACGACTCTCGACCAAGTAGTCTAGAAGGGACTCACAGAACCACATTTCTTCCATCCATCCACCCTTACAGCAAACAAATCCATTGCACGTTCACTTATAGAGCGCCGGGACTATTCTTACACTTACCTCGCTCAGATTCTCTACACTCAGACCCACAGTAACAGCGATGCCACCCATAATATCACGAGTTCCAGACAACAGTACGCCTACAACCAATCTATCAATCCCCTCAACACTTACTCCAAACAACAATACCTCGACACCTCCTTCAACCAACCCTTCGACAGCTACCCACGACTCCTTAGCCGCCAACCACCTGCTCAGCAGCTTATTCATCAACTCCAACCCCCATCCACACGACCAGCCAGAGCTCGCCATGCCTGATCTAGAACGCGTTTTCTCCTCGCACGGAAATGACGGACGTGGACGTCGGTATACTGGGATGTACAGGCAGGGCGAATGGGTGAACAAGACTATCGCGGTACTTCTCGTTGTGAGCGGTGTGTGTTTTGCGTTGTCTATACTCTATGGTACTGGGGTGTTGTGAGTGGTTGGCGGGTGAGGGGATTGGAGATCGCGGTATGGGGCGGGCGCGGGGTGTTTCCCAAATCCATCCGATCAAATACTACAGAAGTAGCTCGCAGCGCCATATGCCCTTCATTCACACCATATTTCAGCCAAACAGTGCATTGCTCATTCACTGATCAGCGCCCGGCCACTCTATAGAATCGTCTCACTCACTCACTCACTCATTCACCAAATCCACTGTGCCACCGATAACATCACGAGCTCCAAATAACAGTACGTAACAGCGACATCAACCAACCATTCGATAGTTGCTCGCGAAAAAACAACCGACACCAACGCCATGTCCGACCCAATCATCCGCCCCAACACATACGACCAGCAAGAGCGCACTACAATTGATCTAGAACGCGGTCTCCCTTCAGAAAGAGATGTTAGGCGGCGGGATATCAGGATTCACAGCGTAGACGAAATGTCAAACATGGAAATCGCGGTAATCTTGGTCTCAGGCGTTGTATGCTGTGTACTGTCTGGACTGTATCTATCTAGCGTATTGTGAGTGGTTGTTGAATAAAGAAGGGGGGGATTTGAGATGGCGACGTGGGGAACTTCGTGTATGATGGTTTAGAACTAGATGTACTAGAGCATGCAGATAGATAGTCAACTCGCGTTAATAAGTGTCAAAAGAAAATATGCTGTACACTTCAATCGTGCATTGGATATTTTGTGGAGAGGACGGGTAGCGAGATGGCAGGATGCAGATTAGTCAGCAGACGAAGTGGGGTGAAAGCAACATCGCACACGATCACCAGACGTTACCCTTCTGCATCACATTTTCCATCAGAAGCATCATCAACGACATGTTCCATTCAATATGTACCCATACCAGAATGTCAGCCCGGCAAATACGACAGTATCCAGGCATCGCATAGCAGCATACACCCCGTCCTTGTAATCTCCAACCTCGTCATCACCTCCACATCCTCACGATTTCGCAACACCTGTATCCGTCAAACCCTCACACCTTCTTGCGACCGCTTCCCTTAGGACGCCCTGGCTTCCTTTTCGGGGTAGCTGGCAGTGACAACGGCAACGAAGTAGCCTTTTGTCGTTTCCTGGTTCTCTTGACAACCTCTGTTTCTTTCTCCGGCGCGTCCACGTATTCCTCATCATCGTCGATGACGATGGGCCTCTTGCGCGACTGCTTTGGAGATATCTTCTGCGCGACATTGGTGCTTGGTACTACCGGTGATGCTGCAGCGGCCTTGCGAGGAGCAGACAGTGACGCGGTCTTCTTAGCGTTGGGGGCACTCGCCTTGGCTTTGAGGACCTTGGGTGCTGCAGATTGCGCTGCCGTGTATCGCAGGTAGTTTGCGCCGGCTTCGCCGAGGTTGGCTGGGCTACTACCGACTACAGGGTGGTTTGCTTTTCTGGGCGCGGTCGCAATAGTGTTGCTAGGCGCCTTCATTTCCTCCACCGGGTTCACCAGGATGTCTTCGAAGAAGTTGTCGCCTACTCGAGGGATCGAAATATCGAAAGGATGATGCTCTTTGCGCGGCGTATAGCTCTTGCCTAGTGTGCCGTCGGTATGGCAAGGCACGGAGGTGATCTTGAGTGCGATATAGCATTTGCGAAACTTGGTCTGCTTCTCGCGCTTGACGGCTTCCTTTTCGCGTAGGGTGCGACGCAGGTTCTCTGTCAAGTGGTGAGCGTAGTCGCGAGTGTTACTGCCAGTAAGTGAACATACCTGCCCCCGCTGACGTCAAAGTATCAGTCACCAGCTTCTCGTTCTCCTCCTCTACGCACGCGTCGCAGTAGAACAGCAGCATCTTCGCCTTCTTCTTCTCATCTCCCTTGATCTTGTGCGATCTGTGCTCGACACAGTAGCAATTGGGTGCGCATCGCTCGTCGGGCGTGGGTGTGGTGATGAGGTGGCCGCATGCGAGGAGGTGCTCGTAGGACATGGATGCGTTGTTGCATGAGTCCGCGTCCCGTGATCCTAAGACGCGTGGGTAGGTGACTTTCTCGTGTATGGCGTCGACCTTCTGCTTGGAGTCGGTCTTTTGCTTGGTGGATGGCGACGGCGTGGCTGCTTGTCCTGGGAGCGACCACCGAGTCGCGAGCATGTTGCCGACTTGTCTGGCGACAGACGACGACATGAGTGCTAACGAAGAGAACACTTTGGGATACAAGGTGATGTAGGCGGCAAGCGCGATTTGGATTGCGCGGTAGGTGGGTGGTCGGTAGCTTGGACTGTAGGTCAGGCGAGGTCCAGTGAGTCGAAAGAGAAGAGTTGGTCTCGCGACAATAGGATTGAATACTCAGAATCCACCGCCAAGAAGTGAGGGTGAGTTGGGTGTGAGCTCTTGAACAGGCGATACTCACGCAGCCGTAGTTAGTGAAGGGCAGGCCGCGCACAATAGCAACCGCGCAGTCTTCACCTCGCCCATGATTTCAGACCGCGCATCGCGTACGCAGCGAATATTGAGGGTATTATATAGTCTTCGGACCATTTCGTGACGTGGGTTCACATGGTGGTGTAGTATATAGTTGCACCACCTGAGATTGGCGGAGGTATCGTGAAGCTTGGTAGGCGCGACTGACGAGTGATTCAGGAATGACGTCAGCTTGCTACTTCTGCTTTCACGTTGATTGCTGGTTGTGCGTGCTTGCTCTAGGACGTAACAACATGCGATGCGCAAGATGACTGACACTTGCAGCAAGTGAACGCCTGCCCAACTTCGTATGATTTCGGCGATATTCGGATGTATCGGCACCGAGACCAATAGCTCGAAGAGCCAGTGAGAACTATGAGGTCTCTCCAGCAGCATGGAAGACAGCCACGCTCATTGGCTGCCATAATGGTTGCCTAAATCGTCAACATCGCGCGGAGGCGAAACGTCAAAAGCCTTGACATCGACATTGACATTCACGCCTCTACACACCCTTCTTCCTTGACGACCCATAGAACAATCAACGTTTCGCGATGCCAGTCTCTATCGAACTGAGAACAGATACCGAGCACCCCGACGCTCTCACCACATCGTCAGAATGTCCAGATATCTACGAAGAAACCATGCCTGGCAACACTCCATACATACTCGTTACCATCAACGATCCCGAGACCCTCTCAGTCCTAGGCAGCAAGCTAGCCACCGGCGACGCCAATATTCCCATCCTCCAGCCGCCGTCTTCACGCAAGTCCGCCGACGACTGCTTCTCACTCCCCGTCACTGCAATCAGAGTGCTGCACATCGGGATATCTCCGCTCGTCTCCTCCGATGATGTTCTGAACGACGGTGACACCTACGGCCCATTGATGACTCCCTTCATTGAAAGCTGGCGCGACGCATTCCGTAGTCTCCCAGAACGGCACTCAATCGAGCGCGTTGTATTCAATGTGCGCTGTGAAGATTCAGGCACGGTACGGAAAAGTGGCCACTTGCTCCAGGAAGTGAGTACAGGGATGTATGTAAAAGCGAAACGGACAATGGGGAGGGATATGGTGTTTAGGGTCGTGGGTTATCAGAATGAGAGGCATAAGCGATGGCTAGAAGGGGCTCTGCCAGGTAAGAAAGAGGAATTTGGGGCTCCGGTAGCCAAGGAGGAGACGACAATAGCGGATACACTGCATCTTCAATGAAGGTGGTCATTGTATGCCGAGGGTACGCCAGCCTTCAAACAGCTGTAATCTCACTTGCACTTTGACATCTCTACCACATGTCCGTCCACATCATATCTTCACAATCCCATCACTGCAGCCTACCATTTCACTCACACCCAACCCCAAATTCTTCCCACCCGCGACTTATCCAACCAACCCATACCGCACCCTACCATGGCGCTCACCAAGCCGCCGCCTCGAAATCACTGCGACGACCCGTCCACCCCTCTCCACACTCTAGACTGCGAACATATCATCAAGCCGCAGTCCTCGCCTCCCACACCGGTGTACTTCCCTGCTCCAAAGTCGCCATGCTCATCAAACTGCACGCGCAGTATCTACTCCGCAAAGCCCCAACTACCCTTAGTCTGGCTCAAGCGACAAGAAAACCTGCATCAGCATCCATTCATCTGCCCCGCGTGCATCGAAGATCGCATACGCAGCCAATACCCGCGATATCTCGAGGACCACCAGAAGAACCGAGCGGCCTCGCATAAGGTGACGGACGATGTAGAGACGAATGTACAGCTTTGGACATACGAAACGGTGCTAGAAGCAGTAGAGAGAGGAGGTAGGGTATGTGAAGCAGAAGATAAAGCAGGTATCTTTCGGATCAAGTATCTTGAAGGGTTCAAGGCTTTGACGCAAAGAAGAAACACATTGGCTAGGGTTTGGGATATAAGAGATGCACGCCAAGAGATTGAAGTTGAGGAGCAGGACAGAGCCACGCCCGATGAAGATGCAGAGATGGACAACTTAGCCGAGCAGCTCTTAGACGTAAAACTTGGGATTGCGCAAGACAGCACAGTTGATGATCTTATGGAGGGCGTGTCAAGATTGTAGACAGTGCCATGTCTTCTGTTATTCCAACCTGGTCAAACTTGTTCTCGCCGTCGGCCCACCTGCCCGCCCCGGACATGGGCCAAAAAGATGAGCAAAAAAACATCAAAATACATACAACAGCGGGGATTCGCTAGTGGTCACCCACCTAACTACTAATCCGCCGGTATCATGCTTGTATATGGCTGAGCGGACGGGAAGCCTAATTTTCATGATCCTATGGTCGTATGTGAAAGACTGGGCAATTTTAGCATATATATTGGCGGTGTGCGCCACGCGAGCCTTCTCGGACGGGTAAACTAAGTTCCAGCAGTGCCGTCGTCGAAGGAAGCAGTGGATAGAGTGTATACCGTTCAGATAGCGAGAGATTGAGAGCGCGACTGTCTATGGGTCTTGCAGCTTCGGTTCACATAAGGACAGGGCTGGAGCGGCGAGTGCAGCTAACTAGAATGTGCAGGGTGGGAGGCTGAGTAGAGGAGTGGCGAGTCCGTACTAGAGGAAGGGGAAGTAGATTAATAGGTTAGGCTAAGCTTGTGTTCATACAAGCAGTATGCTCTCATAGCTACCCTTGCCAACAAACAGGTGCTTACATTGTTGCCATGCCAAATCAGAAATAAACACTCTATACATGTAACGGTATGCACTGTCACTACGTCGAAGTCCTAGGGCCCAGCGGCACTCGGGAATGAGATACAGCCTGTCGCCACACCGCCAAGAAGGGAGTGAGTCTTCATATATGTGCCCTACGATACCTGATCCGACAACGAGATGGCGAGTATGCTCGAAGAAGCTACTTAGTTTCGTAATAGAAGAGGGACTCGGGACGAAGGGGTCTTCTTGATGAGCTACAGCTGCGCGGCGACGTCGCTGACTCTTTCGTTTCCCCGATCTGCTTTCGCGTTGGAGGAACTCATCCAAGGCCGTCGCGCTTTGCTCCAGAGCAGACAGACGGTTCGCTTTATCGTCGTCCCAAAAGTTGAGACGAATGTAATCGCGGAATCTTCGTGTGTACGTCTTCGCATCGGCGTGAGGTATATCCTTTGATTTTAAACCTGCAAGGATTCGATCTTCGACCTCCAGGACTGCTTTGCGCAACACCTTTACGTCCTTGATTTCCTGCATTGGAAGAACCTCCACCGTCGCGATTACTCTTCCTAAGGCCAGCGCATCGTGTATCTTTAACTCGGTACATCTCACGTCGATGTCGAACACACCCTTGGGCGCCCCCCATTTTCGCTTGTACTGTGCAGTACATCTATTACAGATTGTAACGCCTGATTCATGGTATGTCTTTCCCATTGAGATTCCGTGAGCAAGGATGTCGTAATTACTTTCTGGCGCTTCGTGGGTCTCGTTCTCTCCAGTCCACTGTTTCGATTCCCAAATTGGTACCCAGGACGGTATTCCCTGGATGCTACTGGGCCCGCTTTCCAGAATTCTGAGAGGCCGCGATTGAGGATCGGCGTCAAATAGAATCCATACAGCAACCAGGTGGAAGAACTCAGCGTCTTTTTGGTCTTTCTGGTCTTTCTGGTAGTCCATCATGAAGAACATAATATTATCATGACAACGGCCCATATTGGCCAAACCATACACGCCATTCACCCTATCTTTAGGCTTGCTCACTTCAAAGTTGCCGCTCATACTGCTCAGGTAGGTAAGAAGACGGCTCGCAAGAGATATGTCGGACGGTTCGTATCCCTTATGAAACATTCCATGGACAGTGAGGGAAATGTGTGTTCGGGAAAGTGGTGATGGTGCATCTTGAAGCATGCAACGTTTCGCCACTTCGAGGAACCTGCGGTATCCGACTTTCACATAGCCACATTGCATGACGGGATCTTTTTTCGAACGCGTGGCTTCCTGGATGACCCAGACGCGTCGCCACCAGGGTTGCATCGCCACAATTCGTATTCCAAGAACTTGTAGTTCATCAAGAGAACAGACGTTATTCTCTTTCTCGTCGAACAGGCGGTCGTCATCCATAACGTAGTTTGTGGCTGCGAGAAGTGCTCTCTTGATGGTTCTCTTGTCATTACTCAAGGCCGCTCCTAGGGCTTCTTCTGGAGGTAGATCGGAGTACAATCCTCCAGGTATCGGAAGTCTTCTTGACAGATCATTCAAATCGTTTTCTTGTAAGTCAGGCGTGGAATCGCATATGTCACCGACGGACCCTAGCCAGATGCGCACCTCCAGGGCCTGTTCGTAAATTTCCCCCATGCATTGTACTTGTGAAAGACATTCCTCCCTATCAGACTGGTTAATACATATGGCATCGACCCACAGTATGCGCCCTGATGCGCGATCTCGTAGATGTCGTAATGC